TGTGATGCGATATAGTAGGTCGCGGAAATTTTCGCTCTTTTTACGCACTAAGAAATTCTCAGAAGTGATGTAGTTAGAAATAAGTTCGTGTTTGTATCAGCACAGCTCGATTGTGTGAAGGGGACAGTTGAAGATTTGTCTCGGGCAGCCGATCCTGGGAGATAATGAATGTTTGACAAACTGTTCTGTGAGTATTCGGAATGTCTAGTAGGAAGACGTGTAGAGGTTGTTGGTGTCGTAAAGTAAGTTGTGGGAGTTGAACCTTGGTTGTTATGTTGATAACGTGGTGCTCTACTGTTCAGATAAATTGTTCGCGTTTTTGTGGAAAGTTCATGAACGTATAGTGGCTTTCCTCTGAGGGACCGACTCCCTCTAACATGTGGAGAGTTACTTTCCAGTGTCGGCCGATTTCTGTTGAATTAATTCAACGGGATTTGGTATAGTAGTTGCTCGTATTGTTTTCTTCTGTTAACGTCATGTCAGCAGCAACTGGGAAGAGTCTTTCTCCTGTGGTGAGCGCCAATTTGAGCGTCCTACAGTCGAGAATCAGAGGAATGCTTTTGGGCGCTGTTGTTGGTGATTGCTTCGGCACTAGGTAAGTGACAGAGTGTGAATATAGTGACAGATCTGGAAATAGTCGTTTTCTGTGAGGCCCTGTGATATCAGCGTCAACTCGTTACTGATGGTTCCTACTTTGTATTTGAGTGACAGAGTGTGAATATAGTGACAGATGTGGGAATAGCCGTTTTCTGTGATATTGGGGTCAACGCGTTGGTTTCTTTGGGTAATTATGTGACAGAGTGTAAATATAGTGACAGATCTGGAAATTGTTGTTCTCTGTAAGGTTCTGTGATATCGGCGTCAACGCATTGCCGATGGCTGAAGTCGCCGAATCACTTTCCTATAGAGCCATGGCTCCCTCATTGGCAAAGCTCTCTGGAGGTCAGTGGTTGTTCAGACAATCCTGTAACGGATATATGGTATTGTTTTGGGCCTATTTTGTATCTTACAGTGGTGAGCCTTAGATGCTGAATGCGACGAAGAACGTCCTCAACGGTGGAGACAGTGCGCACCTCCGACAAAGTTTTGTAGATTTGATTAACGATCCCGACATGAATCACCTTAAATGGGGTGCAGGGATTGGTTCTGTAAGATGCTAACATAATCGATCACGTGATCGATTCCATCATTTCAGGTTCTGCATGGTGAAGTTCCTAAATCGAACACACTGCGCGGCAACACTGTTATGATAAGGACCTTACCCGCGGCATTGTTCCCGGATGGTGAATATGAAACGGTTTTTGAGCAAGTGAGTAAAATCTTCGCTGTGCGCAGTGGATATCTTTAGAAAAGATATTATGATTATTCTGCGGAATCACATATATCTTTTCAACATTCAGCGTCGCGGTTTTATGAGTTTTCTGTGAGTGTGAATATGTATAGGAATTATGTTGTTGTTTTCAGATGGCTGGAGCCGTCCCTACACATGATGTTGCTAAGGATCGTGCTAAGTGTTTAGCAGAGATCGCGCGGAATGCCGTGAGGACGGGAGTTTGTGATTTGAGCCTCATCAAAGATTCTCGGTGAGTTTCATCAGCTTGGTTATTTTCGTGTGGTAGTTTTTATTCTTTTTTTTTTCCAAAAAAAACACTAATTTGAAAAAAGTAAAAATTTCCCGAAAAATGCAGCCTTCTCCCTTGAGGTCGTCTCACGCTCGGGCCTATTGTGTATCTTTGCATCAGGACGATATCTGCACTCCAACTCGCAACACCTGTCAACTACAGTGAGGTTTCAATGGATGTACAGCGGAGGCTCGCCGCCAGGGTAAGGACATGATTTCGTGGCGCGCGACATTTCCAAAATATTCGCTGTGCGTTCAGATTGGAAATGATTCCATGGCTAGTACTGCGTTGCCGATCGTTGCATTTGCTATTAAGCAAGGCTTGGTTGGAGAGGAAGTTCACGGCGCTGATGAGTAAGAATCTTACGAGACGCGAAATTGAATATTGTTTTCAGGGATGCTGATTTGGGCGGAGCGACTTTGACGCCAGCAATGCTCTGCCCTGATATTCTCAACAGTAGCAACAAGATAGACTTTGCTGAACAATATTATGACGAGACTGAAAATGCTAGTCCGACGTATGGTCAAAACGGTAAGATTGTCGGCCATCATCGTATAGATCGCAGGTTCGATTCTTGGTTGATGTATTTTTTTCAGAAATGCATTTGATTCTGAGCTGGGCCATCAGCTGTGGTGGTGATACTCGAGCCAATGCATGCCTCGCTGGCGCGATAGCAGGAGCAACGTGAGTTGATCGCGCACGAATAAATAAACATTCTCACTTTTTTTAGAATTTGTTGAAACTAGTTCTTCGGGAACTTTAAAGTTTCCCACTTTATGATTGGGAAGTATTTCATCGGTGGCATCAGAGGACAACAGTCGAGAAATGTTAGTTTCTAGTGGAACGCTCTGTTGGCCGTATTTCCAATATCGGTCGTTTGTCGAGAATGATGCTCTTCATTGTTGTTGTTGTATTAGATACGGCGCTGAACAGATCCCTCACGAATGGAGGGTTACGTGTGAAGGCACCAAAGAGGCCCTCAGGGTTGCTGATAGAGTCTTTGAGGAAGTCTATCTTGACAATCCTACCTTGGCAGAATCGATCGCGCGATCGATTTCGACACCTGTGAAAGCTACCGCCGAATAAACTGCAACATTATACATATCCATTATACATGTCAATTCCTGTTTATTGTTACTATTACATCTTGTTGACGTCGTTGTTGACAATGATGACAATCTTCGCTGTGCGCAAAGATATCTTCATTGTCGCGCTTGTAATTGTATGAATTCTTCGCTGTTCGTGTGCCATATCAAAGGTTTCAAGTAAATTTTCCGTGCAATTGTATTTTTTTGTGTTGACTATTTGAAGGGGCTTGGTGGAGCGGTTTTCTTCCTTGGTATTTTGGTCGCAATGAAAGAGACATCTACAGATAGGGATCCGTTGTGTAGAGGTTCGCAATGCGAGTTCTATATGATATCGATGTAGAGGAGTATTGCCTAGAAGGGCACCGCGGGGATCGAAGTATACTACGAGAACCGGAACATCTTAAACGTTAAAATTTTCATCTGAGATTCGAATCCGCGACCTATCTCCTAAGAACATACAGAAACCTGTTATACATAGATACAAGTTGTTTCTGTTTCAAACAACACGAAGACGGCTAGGATTTAATCATCGACCCTCAAGTGACCATGAGGCACTATCTATGAACGAGATCCGGTAAAACCTTTACCATAACAGTCAGTCAAGCTTCTGCGGATTCGCTTGGAAATTCCAAGCGAATTCCAAGTTGGAATGTTAGAGAGAAGCGCCTTGGATATTACCTCTTTGATATGCCTGAGACGCGAAGGGAGGATAGTATTCTCTCCTTCGCACCTCCTATTCTCAGAATATCAGCTAGCTTCGCATGACACACAGCATCGGCTGTGTGGTCTAGTGGTATGATTCGCGCTTCGGGTGCGCGAGGTCCCGGGTTCGATTCTCGGCTCAGCCCTCATCGTTTGATCTGTTCACCAACACAAGCGACCATTACCCACGTCATCGCGGAAAGCGACACACACTTTCCCTCCTATCCCTAATACCTACAAAA